AAGGGCACTATTTGTCAAATTAAAACTCGCCAACCGGAGAAATTTACTGTTTTCGTCAAATTTTTTACTCGTCAATAAATCCCGCTATACGGTATATGGCTTAGGATTTAGATCAGCTAGTCATGTGACCATCAAACCCAACAAAACACCATGCAATAGGAGTCAATGAGAGTAAGGTACAAGGAATTACCTTTCCTGTGAGTGACAGTTTACCAGTCATGGCAATACTCTGATGTATTGGATGATCCATAGACTAGCTAGTGAGAGGAGGGCAAAGACTATAGTAATACTTGCTAAAGGACTGTTCTTTGGAATAGCACCCTATAATAATAACAATAATAATTATTAATTAATAATAAATTACCTCGGGAAAGTGAAGATGCATTTTTGCTTTCTAAAGAAAACCATTTGAAGGAAATTTTGAAGACATGAATGACTAAAATAATAAAAATATGATTTACATGTACATACCATACGGGTGGAAAATTTTGAGGGCATAAAATTTCATGTTTTAGTGAAAAGCTCTTAATTCTTTAATTTTGAGTGGGTTGAATTTTGCGTTTTTGCACGTGCACTTTCATGATGTCATTGATTTTCATGTGCTGTGCATGCGCAGTGAGCATTTCCATGGTATTAATTTTCGTGGTTGAGAAGTTACTCAAGAAATCCGCGAAATTAAATACCCCACGGAATTTTATACCTGTACGGCAATAGTGCCTTGCATTTTGATCTCTTACCTTAGCAAATGCATAAGTCGACTCCTTCATTACATCTCCCATCTGTCCAGTAGTAGTCATACTTCCTTTTCCCTACTTAGACAACCCCTGCCCTTCAACCATGCCTGTCTCCACATAGAGTAGTAACACTCAGTGACGTCCAAGCTAAACCCATGATCATACTTTTAGAGGTGATCAGAAACAAAGACTGACTGACAAAATCTTTTAAATTAGTAGAAGAGACAGTGACAGGAGAGACAGCAGTAGCAGGTTTATTTTCTTCTTTTTTCATCATCTTCATCATCATTTTGTCTGTGTTAGTGATATGACTTTAAAGCTGTTTTACGTATATAATATCTGTAAAAGGAAGGAGATTGAACTCACAATAAAGGTATATCATAGACATATGTACACGTATAATTGTGTACAATTATTAGTTGAATTTAAGTAACAGTACAATTACATGTACAATGTACATACATAATCAATAAAATAGATCAAAAAGCAAAAGACAATAAATACTATGACATGTGAGTGCATTCCTTGCAGTCTTAACCTTCTCAATGTGTTTCTATAGGTTCCTGATCCACTCTCTTTCTGTGTAGTACCACTTGATGAGAGACTAGATGGCATAAGTTTCTATGAGGACCTGCCAATCTTCTCAACCAGAGGAAGAATGGGCTTGTGGTATCACGTAATTCTGAGCAATGGCTTCCTTCTCTTCCGATGTAATAACCAGAGACCTGAAAAGTGAGAAAAAAAATGCTACTAAGGTTAATGAATAAAAAATCCATTTTTGATTGGAATCAGCTCAAACTTGCTACACAACGTTAGAACACCATGCACCGTATCAGTAAACATTATTAGTAACGTGGTAGCATTACTAAGTA